TATTTTCTAGGCCGGGGAGATGGCTCAGTAGGATAAGCACTTGACTGGCAAATGCAAGTATCTGAGTTCAATCCCCGGTTCCGCAAAAAAAAATAAATAAATAAATAAATAAATAAATAAATACATAAATAAATAAAGTAAGTCTAACATTTGTGAATGTCGTACAGACATATGGACATTTGTATAGCTATTAACATCTTACGCAGTTTAGCTTGTGACAACGTAATAGCTGATTGCCAAGTAACCCCTGATGACTTCTTTCAAACGATGCAAGACCAGAAACTGTCTTTCCATTGAAGTATTTATAGCATATAAATTTAATGTATGGGACTGTATTCTATTATTAATATATATTGTACTGCTCATAGATTTTTAATTTGTTTATTTCACTCCCTTGAATTATATTCCATCGATTTTTGGACTTTCAAGTCTTCTATAAAGCAAGTCATGTTTACTATGCTTTTTTTTCTACCTTATGTTATGTCTGAGTCTTTTCCAGTAGAGAAACAAACTCTTTATACCATTATGGGATTAATAAATGAAAACATGAAAAATAATGCCATCATGCATAACTCGTACAGTACAGCATTAAAAATCTCACATTGTCAAAAATTATCCTAGTTTAATCTGATAATTTAAGGTACAATAAAATTAATAGATGTATGGACACCTGGATTATAATACAGGATCTCATTCAGACTTTTCTTTTGTTTGTTTTTGATCAAAGAATGCATCTTGAAATAAAAGCTAAGAACATATTACTCATAAAATAGATTGCTATGTACTGTGTAGAAAGAGTTGTGGCTAATGCAGGAGACTGCTAAGGAATGATAAATCTTATCTCATAATTAATGTATTTCCAAATGAATTTGTACAAAAGTAACTGGTCTAATTTGATGACATATCAAGAAAATGTGCTACTAATGAAATTGGTTATCAAATAGCACAAAATATGTGCCAGTGTTCTATTGTATTTTCAGAACTCATTATACATATTTTCACATAAGTATGACTTGAAACATCTGGATAAGCATAGATGGTGGTGTCACTATGAAGTACCAAGGGATGCTCTGATCACAGGACGGTGGCACCTTGGTTCAGGAACTTTATTCTTTCCATAGTTCTTGTCACAAAACTAGATGAATGAGAACTGAAGGAAATTCAAAGTGTAGGTGCAGTGTTGACCTTATGGGGAGGGAAATATTTTTTTCCATAATTTTATTGAGAAACAAATAGCAATGAGACAGTTTCAAATCAAATTGGTAGGACAGTTTCAATAATTAACACATTGCATACTGTCTTC